CCTAACACTAATTTTTGGCTTTTTGGGGTATTTAGCCACTTGAGTGTGTTTTAATCCCTGAAAAAAAATTTAAGGAACCTAGGGACCGCCAATAGGCACAGCCAAAATTTTAGCATTCGAACACCAATTCGAATAAGAATCCATCACCCTATTCCTTGTTATAGAATTGAAGTTTAATTATAAATAATGTGGTCTTTTGTACAAATTAGAAAATATTCATAATTAATTACATGTTACTAATTGAGCCAGAACCAGTTATTTATTTGTTATATTTAACTGATTGATTGATTTTATAGTTTGAATGCATAATAATACACTGAAATTTGTATAATAACTCAATTGTATTTCCTTGATGCATGTATTCTATGTTTTACATGATTTACAGTTAAAATTGAAAAATTGGAAATTAAAGATAAATGAGAGATTGTTTGATTAAGCGAAAGGATGAATGGTAGTCTTACTAGATATCCTGAGAGATGGTGGATGGACTGGGTACATAAAGAACCCTACTGTAAACGTTGCCTCATACTGGACAGGGTATTGAGGGATAGTATTTTTGGTGCTCATACCGGACGGGGTATAGAGACAGCTCGTTATTTAAAAATGTTGAAAGATGGTTCATGCGTAGTGGGGACATCCCTATGGACCCTTATGGATACCAGTAGACTGATAAAAGAGAAAGTTATTGTTGCCGACTGATTACATATGAGATTTATGATATTGTTTATGTTATTGACTCCATATGTTGATTTTAGAAATCTTGTGTAACGACTCCCAAAATATCCAAAGAAAATAAGTTATAAATTAAGTGCAGAAGCGTAATAAATGTTCAAGGTTTACATTCCATAAACAATAACTTAAAGAACCAAACAGCCCTACGAAGTTCAGTCTTTAAAAAATATATAAGAAATAAGAAAATAAACAAAAAATAAAGATGCGGTTCGGGCTCTGGAACTTGGTTCTCTTGATTTAAAATGGTTAAATAAAGAATGAGCTACACTAGTCCAGTAAGTACATCACACTATATCACCGACACAGAAATAAAGGTTGGTAGAAAATCAAAAACCACTAATAGAGCACTAAATTTATCAATTTTATTTATCAATCATAAAACCATTTACCATCCACTAATAGACCATGGCCAACTTGGCTAATTTTGAAATTCCGACATGGCGACGGCGCCGCTGCTCGTGGCGGCAGTCCACCTCGAGTTGGCTATTTTTGGCCAAATTCAGCCGACTTTGCATCAATTCCTGCAAAAAAGCACGTTAAGGGGCCTCGGTTGGCCGAAAAAATACAAAAAATCGAAACTTACCGGCGGCAGGATGCTCCGGTGCAGTGGCTCCTCCAGCTCACACTGCGGTTGAGTGTTTTGCTCCAGTTAACCTATAGAGAAGGATGGGGTGATCATAATGGTGAAAAAATTACACAGAACGAGAATCAGGAAGGGCCTCATCGGAGGCATTTTGTGAAATTTTCTGCGGCAGCGTCGCTGGCTTCGTCTGCGTTTTTCGGCCATGAGTGTGTTTAGAATTGAATTTTGAGAAAAATGAGAAATTTTTACCTTTTTTGGCGGTCGAAAATGGCTCCCGGCAGTGGGTGGCGGCAGTATTCTTCCCGGTGGTCGAGTCTTCTTCTCCGGCGAGGGGGTCTGGTGGCTAGAATTAGGGTTTGGTGTGGATGGGGGTTATTCATATCCATCCGCTTTTGATCTGGGTCATCCATCGTGTTTGATTTGGACCGTCCAATCGCGATTAAATATGGAGTAAATATGGACTGTTCATCGCGATCCAATCTGAACCGTCCATCGCGATCTAATCTGGACCGTCCAATCACATTCAAATATGACCATCCGATCACTTTGGGGAGGGAACGCATCTGGGCCGTCCATGCACGTGGGAACGGATCTGGGTCGTTCGATCGCAGGCACGCTGATCATCCGCGTGGCCTCTCTTGTCATCCGCTGCCACGCAGTGCGTCATGATTAATCGAGCCTACTGACTAGGCATCTGATGTGGTAAAATTTTCTTAAATTATATTTTGACCTCTGATTTCTAATTTTTCTTTCAAAAATATCACCAGAACCCAAATTGTCACTCATTTTCCCTGAAATTATTTTCAATTTCATCCTCCATCAAAATTAGTTCATTTTCACTCCAAAATAAAATTAAAAAAATTAAAAAATTGCATTTAGATAAATTTAATTTACATTAAATTTAAACTTGAGCATTACATCTTGCTACGGTAAGTATGCAGTAAATGCTTTTATTTATGATAAATGGATTTACTTGAATTAAGAGCTTCATTAGTTGTTTTCATAATTTTTACCAATATTTATTTCTGTGTCGGTGAGTAGCTTGATATTCTTACCGTGTTAGTGTAGTTCACTCTTTCATTAACTATTTCAGATTAAGAGGACCAAGATCTAGAGCTTGATCCACAATATGGTTGTAAGTAGGATGCTCAGTTGTTTATTTTCTATTTATTTCTTTGATTTTTTGTTATTTCTTTTAAAATGGTCATTCTCGTGGTCATATTGGGTAATCTGAATTATTGTATAATTCATAATTTATTTTCTTTTAAGTTCATAGACCGTTTACAGAGTTATTAGTATAAAAGATAATATAATGTTATTAAGTTGAATTATTCAATTCTTAGGACCTTCATATGTATAAATTTATTTTTAAAATTAAATAATATTGAATGAGGTTTGACTTTGATTATACTTTCTTCTTTAATTTTCGTTAACTTGATAAAATAAAATATTATTTTTATGCTATGATTGGTTTAATTTCTATTTTACTTTTACTAAATTTCTGCAAGATCACGTGGTACATTTAAAATATTAATTTAAACTGATTCTTGATAATAAAAATAATATTTTATTTAATAAATAAATATGAATGTTTTTGAAAAACTATTTAATTTAGTTATATAATATTTTAAAAATGGAAGAAAAAAGCATCATATCGTCACATCATATTCCAAAAAGCAAAAAAACAAAAGCCAATAAAGAATTCATATCATATGCATCATCGTTATCGACATGGTTATCATTTCGAAAAAAAAAATTAAAATAT